ACAATTAGGCGTAATAAATGTTATCTTTATTTCCCGTGAATCTCGAATCGTTTCGTTTACAAGCTTTCAGAAAAAAGGGAAGAAGTCGAGTGAGAAGCAAAGACATAAAAATTAACATAGATTAGGTAAAATTGAAAATTGCAATAATCTTTAGTTAATAAATGAATGTTTGATCCCTACATGTGTGTGTGTGTGTGTGTGTGTGTGTGTGTGTGTGGTGTGTACAATGTTTAAAAGATTCTATATTTTGACTATTAAAAATTGTAAGCATTTTATAATTTAAAAAAAAATTTTTAAGCAATGATTTTCTAAATTTCAAGAACCATTAACTTATCTTTATTTAAATTTAATTTTTTTGGCTTTCAATAATGTTGGTTTTCTATGCTTATTAATGCTTTGGGATAACTAACATAACGTTAAAGAGACCGAGCACGTTTTAATTGGTTTTAATAATTTGGTTCATAATAAGTTTAATAATATTTCGATGGATATAACAGAAAAACATCTCCCGCTGAAAACAGTTTTTGTTCAAAATCTTCCATTTTCAACGACAACTGAAAAGTTAAGAGAACTTTTTGCAAAATATGGAGAAATGAAGCAATGTTTTGTCGTCGCTGATAAAAATAAACCAGAAAATCAGTGCAAAGGAATAGGGTACGTTATTTTCGCTGATGAAGTGAGTTCGAAAAGATGCGTAAAAAATAAATTGAAGTTTGGTGGCCGTAATCTACGAGTCTATTATGCGAAGCCAAAATCGGTTATTAAAAAAAATTATTTCATGACCTTAGGCGAAGATGAATCAAAACGTAATGAAAATCAGGTCGGCTCAAAAGTCACAAGTTGTCATTCTGCTGCACCAAAATGTAAAAAAAGAAAATTGGGTCAGACAGATTCAGCAGAAAGCAATGGAGATAGCGAGGATGAGTCAAAAAGTGAGAAAGATGAGGATGATAATGGTGGTGAAGATGATAATAGCAACAATGATGATGATGATGATGACAATGAAGATGATGATTATGATAATCTAAATGAAAAAAGTAGTGAAAAATGTAACAACATCAAATCAAGTAAATCTTGTGATGATAATTCAAACTCCAAAAATTATTATAATTCAAAAAATGATGAATACTATGAATATGAAAGTAAATCAAATCAAATCAAGAGTAAAAAAAAAATTAGTAATGTAGATGCTGAAGATGGTAAAACTTTATTTTTAAGAAATCTTTCATATGATTCTGTTGAAGATGATTTAGAAGAGTTCTTTGAGAAATACGGTCCTCTAAGCTACTGTAGAATAGTTGTTAATTTGAAAACACAACATTCTCAAGGATCTGCTTTTGTTAAATTCAAGTTCAAAAAAGATGCAGAAAAATGTCTGCAAAGTTTTGAAGAAGATAGTTCAAAATTTGTAGTTGGTGGTAGAAAATTGACAGTGATGATGGCTCTGACTAAAGATAAAGCCAGGGTTATTTGTGAAGAAAAAAAATTGGGCACAAAGAAGGGTACTCAAAAAAATTTGCATCTGATCAGATTGTTGCTAGTCAGACCTGGCACTCAAGCTGCCGAAGGTTTGTCTAAGGAAGATTTAATGAAACGAATTGAAGTGGAAGCTATCACAAGAGAGAAATTAAAAAACCCAAACATTTTTGTTTCACCAACTCGACTTTGTGTCAGAAACATTCCAACTAATGTTGATGAAAAACAACTCAAGAGAATATTTTTAAATGCGGCCAAAGATCCAACAGCAAAAATAATTGAATGTCGAATCATGAGAGATCTCACTCGACCTAATATTAAAGGGGTATTTAAATCAAAAGGGTTTGGCTTTATAGAATTTACAAAACACAAAAATTCACTTGCTGCTGCTCAAGCTACAAACAACAACCCCGAAATTTTTGGAAACAACCGGCGTTTAATTGTAGAGTTTTCACTTGAAAATAAATCTGCGTTAGAAACTAAGCAAAAGAGATTACTTAATTCTCAAGCCAAATTAAAGGACACAAAATCAAATGTTGGGAAACAGAAACCAATTTTCCAATACCCCACTGCTGCCCCTAATGCGAATCCCTTACAAAAAACATTACCAACTCATTGGGGAGCAAAAATAAGACACAAACCAAGAAAAAATATCAATGCAACAAAAGCTCTCAAGAAAGAAAAACATAAAATGAAATTTGAAACAAAAGAAGAACCTCGGTCTAAAAAACAGAAAAAATTTAGAGAGGAGCACGACGACTTGGATACTATTGTTTCTGTTTATAGAAACAAGTACAAATCTGTTTATAATGACAATATTTGACTATTTTTATTTTTAAAATAAAGTTATTTTGTTGTTATTGAATTATAGTTGAATTTTTCTTTATAAGGTTTTATTTAATTTGCCTCAGTTTTCAATAACAAAACCTCTAAAATAATTTGAGCTATTCAGGTTTGATTATTTTACTATGTTTCAGAGTTTCACTCGTAATTTTAAACTGGTAAGCTACTGGGAGTAAAAGAAGCAATGACTCCACGTTTTCGTTTCGTTATAATTGATGCTTAGGGGTGGGTATCGTTTTCAGTGTGGAAGTGGAACTACAGTGTAATGTAATGGCTTGATTCCAGGTCAACGTCCAAATCGAACGCAATTTTACACTATATTTTGCAATTTCGAGATTTTACTTTTTCATCAGGTCGAAAAACAGCGCAGGCGGAGAGATCCGCTCTAGGTTTCTTCAACCGCTGAGAGAATGTCAGTCATATAAAAAGTATATAGATATATGGGCAATGGATTCATAATAATCATGGCGTCGTTAGAGGCATGAGGAATGAACGGCCGAAAGAAATTAAAATAATCGGATAAGATAAAATTTTTTTGGTGTAAGCAAAATTTCGTTTTTATTTTTTAGTTAAATGTATATTGAAATTCGAAGTAAAAAGTACAATTTATACAAATTAAAAAAATTTGCACTTTTAATCTACCATGTTCTTTCCTATAAAATTCACGCTGAAATTTTATAAATACAATTTTTTTAAATCATTTTAATTTAATTGAATTTGTATTGCTTACAAACATATTGTTAATGTTTTTAAAAAAAAAATATTGAATTTAACCATTAATTTTATTTTGTTCTAATTGGAAAATTAGTCTTAACAATTTAAAAAAATTGACATAGCTTTCCATAGGCGAGTCACCGACTTTAAAATTATGAATTTAACACTACATTGCCAGATCCATATAAATAGAATAAATATAACGGCCTTCGCTCATTTTTGACGGTCAAACAAGGAGCTTACTTCCGGAGGGAAATTGGAGGGTGATTTTTTATCTCCAAAGTCTAAAATTACGATCGTATATTTACTAATTTCGGAATATTGCTTTTATTTAAAATGTTTTAAAAGGTGATACTAGGTGCTGTTTTAGGATAGATATTGCTATATGACGGTTTTTGCATTTTAAATAAAAAAAATTTTTGTGAACCACTCCAACACTTGTAATGTAATGACTTGTAATGTTAACGTTAACCGTTAAGGTTAAGGCGTTAACGATTCATTAACAGTTAATGATTAACTGTAACATAACAACACTAACGACGACTAATTAGTAATTAAATTACTAAACTCTAATAATTAAGCTAAAACTAAACTCTACTAATTCTAATTACTAATTAAAATAAATAACAGATGGAACTAACGAACATTAACAAATTAGACTAGGACTAGAGACTACTAACTACACCAACAGCACTTGTTCCTAAAATCCTAAATCCTATTGCTTGATTGATTGTAAAATTTTTATTTACAATGTTTAGGCCTGGGAATAAAAATATACAAAATTAAATAAATATATTAAACAACTTATCAATCAATTTTATAAAATAAACAATTTTGTTCAATTCAAGCTTCAAGCTCCTCAAGCTAACGTTGCAATTTAATTAAAATTTATTAATTATGAGTGATTCAAACTAAATTTTTTTTCATTTAATGTTAAACAAAATATTCCTCATTCTTAAATTATATTACATGTTGTTATTAAATTTATTAAAGATAATGTGTGATTCCAGTGATTCATCAATCCACGGCTTGTTAGATCATGATCATTAAGTTTTAAAGAATCCCCATCACTATAACCAATGAGGTTTGTAAAAATTGTACTTTTAATTTATTATACTTTAAGCAGTTAGAATATTGTATTATTAATTATCATTAATTTACTAAATGCTGCGCATACCTATGGCAAGTAAATAAAATGATTAAGCATAGAAATAGCCACAATAAATTAATTTATATAGGCATGTGTATAATTTGGATAATAATAATTGAAAATATCGGTATCATTGAAAATGAATAGTCATAAATAAAAAATAAATCATAAGTTGCTAAAAATAATAGTTCTAGTAAGATTTTGCCTTACACCTACATCTTTTTTTCATTCTTATATTGTAATAAGTTTCTCAATCCATGACTAGATTGAATTTCATGATCCTTCAGTTCCAGAGGATCCCCATCACCATTAGTCAAGAAGGTTTGTAGAAATCACCCCAGGCGTACCATCAATGTTTTGTAGCCACCTCTTAATGTAGTGTTAATAAAATGACATTGAGAATAGTTATTTAAAATAATCTTATTAAAATTATTGAACAGGTATGACAAGATTACTTTCTTAATGTCCTAGTTTGAGGAAGATGTAGGCCATTTGTCTGAAGATAATCATATGCCTTAGGCCCATCCATACAAATGCAGTGTCAACACGAATGAATTTTGATCAAAGTCATATGTTCTAATTTTTTTAAACTTTTCCAGAAATTTTTCTGTTAATTTATTTGTTACATTAATTAAATACTTGATGTGTATTTCATATAAAAAACTTGATTATGCCAATTGACTCAATACTTGTAATGGTGATTGGTATGATGATGATGATCCCAGTCCTAAGCAGGGTTTATTATTCACAATGTCATTATGCCCTTTCTAAGTTTTAATAAAATACATGGATAATATTGTTGAATGCATTTTATATTTTTTGTATAGATAAGAATGTTGCAATGTACAATGATGATGTGAATTGCTTCCTTGTGTAACTGATGACATATAAATATAACTAACTTGAAAACATGAGAATGCTTCCATCAGCATTACCTTCCTTTCTCCATCATAACCCTTATAATCTTTATTACAGAAATGGTCACTGCATATTTCTGCATTTTTTTTTATGGAAGCCATTTGAAATCATTTATTTCCTGTCTGATGCACTTACTAAATCCAATCGTTTTGCATTTCTACATTTTGAAGAAATCTGAAATTTTATAAACTGTTACAGAAATTTGTGCATTTCTTAAGTATTGCTTTTAATAATAAAATGGTAATCCATGATAGCATTATAAATTATAATAGTCTATAAAATAAAATATATGTAATTGTAAAACAAAATAGTTCTATTCAGTGAGTATAGGGATAGTTGTTACATTTATTTCAGTGTGAAGTTAAATTTGGAAATAAACCTGTGAAAAGATGCATCAAAAATTTTTTATTTCTATTGAAAATTAAATCAAATTAGAGCAATTTTAAAATTTAAATAATGCAACAGGTAGGCATGTTTGTGAAGCTATAAAAATTTACTTAAAAACTAAACTATTGTATCCGACACGAGAATTAGTACATATACAAAAACGGAAAAATAAATAACAATATAAAAATTTAAACATTGATTGAAAGTATTTATTCAGTCAGAAAAATTAACAGGACAAGAACGAAAAGTAAAAAAGCTTCGAATAACACCATTAACAACAATTTTTCAGTCATTACAATTTGTAACAAAATTTTAAATTTTTTTAGTTGTTATTTAATGTGATAATTAATTATTTCTATTTGGTATAAATTTAAAAAATAAAATCGACATTACCGAAAATAATTAAAAGTTGAAAAAATTGAGGTTCTTTGCCTATCCAAGCTTCAACCCATAAGAAAGTGTTGCATGTTGGTAAATAGGCCAGATCGATATTAATGAAATGTGCTTTCAATGAATTTCAAACATTTGAACAATGTTTGTATGTTGTATGCAAAATTTTTTCATTTATATTATCTGTGTAACAATGTATAGCATGTTTGTATTAGATGATATTGTATTAGATGATTAACACATTGGCAAAACTTTACATTAGTGCCTCAGTGCAAACGAAATTCGAGATAAAAAGAAGTGAAAGTAAGTTAAAGCGTAAATATGTCTATTTATACTCTATACTTCTGAACTACCTCGAATTATTAATAACTTTTCTTTCTCTAGTCAACTATATGCTGATGATTCTTACATTTATACTTCTTTTCCTCCATCTAATCTCAATAGTGTTCTTCATAATTTATATCTATGTCTTTCTTCAATTATCGCTTGGTCTGACTCTATGTGTCTTAAACTTAATCCTTCTAAGTTTGAATTAATTTGTTTTAATAAATCTAAACACTCTATTATTATTCCTCCTATTATCTTACCTGATTCTAAAACTCTTGATGTCTCTCATAAGTTTCGTAGTCTAGGTTTTATCTTTGATTCTACTATGTCTCTCTCTTCTCAGATTAATATTGTTGCTAGAAGCTCTTACTTTCATCTACGTAGAATAAAAAAAATTTTGCCTTTCCTTGATGATCCTACTCTTCTCCTTCTTGTTACTTCGTTAGTCTTATCTAGGATTGATTATTGTAACTCGCTCTACTATGGTCTTCCTGATTCTATACTCTATCCTTTAAGTAAAGCTTTTAACTTTGCTGCTCGTCGTCGTGCCCCTTTCTTTTCTCATATATCTCCATATCTTGTTCTCTTGCACTGGCTACCTATAAAATATAGAATAATTTTTAAAATTTGCACGTTCATGTATAAGTCTCAATCTAAATTATTTCCTAAGTATTTATCAGATATATTATTTGAACCTAAACGCCCCGGTTTACGATCATCTTCCTCTCGCTTTTTCTTAACTCGTGTTAAACACTCTTTTGCTAAATCTGCTTTTGCTTTTCTGGTCCTTTTCTCTGGAACTCTCTACCTACTTCTCCATCACTTGCGAAGTTCAGAGCGGATCTCAAGACCCATCTGTTTTCAAAATTCATTGAGGAGCGCTGTTGAACATCGCGGAAATAGCGCTTTATGAGCTAATTGATTGATTGAATTGATTAAAAGTGAATTGATATTAAGACTATTAATTATTAGAGTTATTAAATTATTTATGATTCAAAGTGGAATACTGAAAATAATTTTAAATATAGTAAATTAAAACATTGTTTTAAAAGTCATCAATTATTTAATAACTTTAGAGTGTTAAAGTCCTAATTTTGGAATGCTTTTAAAAAGAAAGTTTTTACATTGTAGGCATTAAAAAAAAACTCACATGCACATTGGTTATGTGTAGTTGACATTAAAATAAACTTCCATAAATTTATTTTCACGAATTTTACCATATACCTAAAACCTAACATGAGGCATTAAAATAAACTTTTAAGCATATATTTGCACGAATTTTAACTTATAAAACTTAACATGAGGCATTAAAATAAACTAAGCATTTTTTTGTATGAATTTTAACATATGAAACTTAACATGTAGGCATTGAAATAAACTTCCATGCCTTTATTTGCACGTATTTTAACATGTATATTAGTATTGTTAATTATTATTAGATTTATAAAAATATTGATGATTTGAAATGAAATACTGAAAATAAGTTTTAAAAATATAAAATTAAAACATATTTTTAACTGTCTCAATTATTTGCAAGCATTTAAAAACACAATTCACCACATAGGCATTAATGTATACTTCCATGCATCGTGTGACGCGAAGTCACTAAAATTAACTGAATATTTGAATAAAAGCGTTTAGGTAGAAATTTCTTATTTTATTATATGCTTCCACGATGTATAAAATTATATTTTTTTGAGCCATGCTTAGCAAGTAGACTTCATTCAGAAGAGTGGTCCTGAAAAGAGCCGTTTAGTTGTCAGAGGGGTGGCCCTGAAAAGGACGTTTAGTTGTCATCATCTTCACCGCCATCTTTATCAACAGATATTTACTTTTTCTCGGATGTGGACAATAATATTTCCAAATGGCATCTGGCCATAATGTTCACGCCAAACAAATTCTGCCAAGTGAGTGGGCCTGAGGTTTTTCGAGGTACCATACATGTACTTCATCTTTTTTTACAATCTAGCCTACAATGATTCCACATTTTGCTTTCTCTGATAAACAAAAATTTTGAGAATGATTGACGGTTCAATGGGTGTAGCCCATATTCCCAAGCTGGCTGTGGGTGCGCCATTCATCGGAAACTATGGTTATTCTTGGTGCAATCCATTTTGCTATTAATGGTAATAGCGTTTGTGCATCCCGGGCCTGAACCTCTTCCAGAAAGCAATGTTTGGTACTTCGTTCGATCCCGCCGAAAATCCACCCTACTCTTGACTTGACGTTTCTCCTTTTTTGATATTTAGCCTTAACAATTTTTGACTTGTCAATTTTAACAATTGTTCATGGGCCACCTATAGGTACAAATGTCACGGCAGAAGTTGTACCAATCAATTACAGACTTTGTGCTCAGCTGCAACTCGCGACATGCTGTTTTTACTGGTTTGCTCCAAGCCAATAGTAAATTAAACGAACCAGCAAACTAAATTGAACGTGACTTTTTTCAAAGAAGGAATCTTTCCGTATGGTGGTTCTTTTTTGACAGCTATGAACAGGACAGCGCCAAATTACGCCGTCGAGGCCCGATTGATACGCAATTTCAGTCATATCACTGCCACAATTGTCACAAATCATTTCTTGATAAAACAACCCGTTCAGTCTGAGCCATTGCCTTGTCTCTCGTTCGTCCTTCATGACCTGATCCGCGACCGTCAACGCATTAATTCTGTCCACTTGATTCATGATAGAAAAAGAAATTGCGCACTACAAAATAAACAAACTCGAGATAAAGCGCCAAATCAAATGATTCGGAAGTCATATATATATATATATATATATATATATATGTGTGTGTGTGTGTGTGTGTGTGTGTGTGTGTGTGTGTGTGTGTGTGTGTGTGTGTGTGTGTGTGTGTGTGTGTGTGTGTGTGTTGTTCATATATATTCAATCAATCAATAAGAAACTTATATAGTGCCAATTAAATGTTCTCAAAGGCGCTATTGTAATTATATAAACATAGTAGTCTACAATACTATTAATGGAAAAAAAAACTTAACTAAAATTATCAAAGTTTAACAGTGAACAAATATGGTTTTTTTTTGTTCTTGTTTAAATGTTCTAAGAGACAGTCCGGACGATCGCAATGACTGTTGCAAGTTTTTCCACACGGTCGGACCTGCAACAGAGATACTCCGTGCACCAATCTGCAAGTGTGAAACCGGTATTGTCAACAAATTCATATCATCTGACCGTAGATGAGACGACGCAGACATTTGTTTTGAAAATTTGTTTACGAGATTTTCTGGTGACATCCCATTCAGTGATTTAAACACAAGTACAGCGATTTTGAAGGTTACTCTTTTATCTATTGTCAACCAGTGTAGTTCCTCCAGGATGGGCGTCACGTGATCAAACTTCATCCTGCCAGTTACCAATTTTGCAGCCCTGTTCTGAATCGACTGAAGAAGAGCAATTGACCCTCTTGGAAGTTTATACAACAGACTGTTGCAGTAGTCAATTCGCGATGTTATAAAAGCATGAATCAACGTCACCAGTGCCGATCTATCCAGTGAATATCTGATTCGATAAATGTTTTTCAAATAAATATTACTTGATGTATATATCTTCTTAACCCATTTTCTGCTGAGGATTTAGATTTTTGTGATTTTTATATATGTTGTAGATACCAATAAAAAAACTAATACGTATTTTTTCTTTTTTCAAAATTTTAATTTTTAAAAAAGTTATAATGTTTTTTAAAACGTCTTTTATAAAGGACGCTAGCAGATTATGACACCCTGAGACCATAGTGGAAATTATTTTTTATTGTTCTTTTCTCAATTTTCATCAATTTTATGAAACAAATAAACAAAAGATTAAAAATATATAATAAAAAAATCTATGTCATTGAAAAAACAACATATGAGGAGGCAGATCTTCTTCTAAAAATGCTTGAATTGGTGTTGGATAATTCTTAAAATTTGAAGATTTTTTACACATATCAAATTTTTTCCATTGTCTTGATTTTTTTATCTTTTTTAAATTTTGAGATATGAAAATTTCACTTTCACATGATTTCACATTCTGTTGTAGTTTTTTAAAAAATAATTTCAAAAATTATTAATGTCTTTGAATTATGATAGTAATTTATTATTCATTTAAAAAATATTAAACATAATAAATACTCACAATGCCAATTTTTTTAGATACACCAATTTGTTTTATTGTTACTTCAGCATTACTCAGTAATTGTCGTGCAGGTAGATCACCGAATGATCCTTGATCATATATTTCATCCAATACATCATCTTCATCTGAATTAATTCCATCAGCAGGAGGACTGATAAAAATGTCAGCTTCAATGATGCTGTCATCATCTTCAATCATGCAGAAAATAACGATAACAACGATAAGAACGATAAGTTCTGGACGTCCAATGCCAAAAACAAACCAGACAAAACACGTAACAATGCTGTTACAGTAGAAGGAACTGCCTATAACCGGATTGATTACAAGACAGTAGGTTATTTTTAAATAAAAACTTTAAGAAACCACTACACGTTTTATAATTTTTGAAATGAATGGAACATTCGATATCGGTCTGTAATTATTAACATCATTTATATCACAACCTGTTTTCTTCTAGACGGGGAGAACCACAGCATGCCTGAAAGAGGAAGGAAATTCACCTGATTGTAGGCAGCAATTAACAAAACTGGTGAGAAATTTGATGAAAAATTTCAAATGCTTTTTTAAGATGTGAGTAGGAATGACATTCTGTGAACTTGTCTTACACGGGGAATTGATTATAATATCCTTCAATTCATCTTCAGTGACCATAGGGAAGGATGAAAACATTACAGCACTATGTGGCCCACCATCATCTGCTGATTGAGTAGAAACTTTGGTAGACTGAACGATTTTGCTAACTTTGTCAGTGAAAAATTGTAACAATTGACGGGCTGTAAAACCAACATCACTATCAAACATTAAACTTTTTTTGTTTCTACACAACACTTTATTAATTGCCTGCCATTCATTTCTCGAGTTTTGCTGACCTCAATTAAATTCCTCCAATAATCTGAACGTTTGTCAGAATATAATTTGTTTCTTGCTTTCATGGAAGTTATCCAATTATTACGATGATCATCTGTCGACAGTTTTCTGAAGATTTTTTCCATTTTTCTACATGTTTGTTTAGCTTTTTTACAATCATGATCAAACCATGTTGCCATACGCTCACCTCTATCATAGATTACTCGAACAGGCACAAATCTATCAACAATACTCTTTAACTCGTTGTTAAACATTGCTAGTTCCTTTTTGACGTCATCACTACAGCATGGTTTAGATACTCATGTACTGATGAAGTTAAAATAGCACCAATGAATTTTTCTTCATCTACTGTTTTCCATGACCTGTTTTCATCACTGTTTTACTGTTTTGCTGGCCGAACAATCATTGTTTCTACTTTTATGAAACTGTGATCCGAAATTATTCCACTAGGATAGATCTTAGCATTAAGTACTGGAAAGTCATGTGAACTGACAACTAAATCCAATGTACCTCCTAGGATATGTGTAGGAACGTTGACATGATTTACGAATAGATCGGGGATCAGAAGTTCTCTCAACATGCAAATTGAAGTCACCCTTCAATAAGATGTCTGAGTTTAAAATTGTTAAGTACTCCAAAATTGAAACCAGATCATCATAAAACAAAACTGTTATTGGAGCTGAGCCAGGTTTGTACATAGCTAGCAAGATGAATACGCTTTTATTTATTGATAACACTGGTCAACACCCAAAAAATTTCCTAAGGTCTTTCGGCTGATTTATGGAAATTTTGATGTCCTGAATCCAAATATCACATTGGTTTTTCTAGATCAGGTCAACTTTCTAAGCTATGGCCATATCTTCATTTTCACTTTTTTGTGTACAGTCCCAGGTATTTTCGCTGTATGTGATGCTTTGTTCTTAATCACTTCATCACTATGAGGAATTTGCAATTTTTAATTAATTGGTATTTTTATGTTTCCCCTATGCACACACACACACACACACGTTCAATGCATTAAATCACGTAACTACAGTCACGTGATCAGACAATCGCAGACATGCCCGGACGAGGCTGTGTATAACTATGGATAGTTACGTCAGCATTTTCCAAATCTGAGCCAGATAGCAGATTGCATTAGTATAGGTATCAGTTGCAAACGAATCGCAAGCGAACGACATGGCTTCCAAGAGAAGATCTTGTAAAAATAAACCCGACGTATTTTGCTATATCTGCGGTGAATACACACTTGTTCATAACAGGAATCAAGTCACATGTTTCATAAAGCGTGCTTACCATGCTTATTTTGGTATTAAACTTGGTGACCAGGATAAAGATTGGGCGCCACACATGGTATGCAAGGTTTGCACCGTGTATCTGCGTCAGTGGACCAAGGGCAAGAAGACGTGTCTGAAGTTTGGAATTCCCATGGTTTGGCGGGAGCAGAGAAACCATGACACTGACTGCTACTTCTGTAGCATCGATCTGACTGGGATAAACAGAAAGAACCGAAGCAGCCTCGAGTATCCTGATTTGCAATTCGCACGTCGTCCTGTAGCTCATTGTGATGATATTCCAGTACCTGTGTTTCACAAACTTCAAGACATCAGTGATGACGAATCCTCCAGTGATGAAGATCAGGAAACAGAAGAAGAATGGCCAGTTGTTGACGATGAAACTCCACAGCTTTTTTCCCAACAGGAGCTAAATGATCTAGTTCGCGACCTCAGCTTGTCAAAGGCTTCTGCTGAACTGTTGGCATCCAGATTGAAAAAAAAAAATCTCCTCTCTGGCTGTGCTCGCATCACCCTGTACCGCAACAGGCATCAAGAGTACCTCCAATTTTTCTCGGAGGTGCAGGACTTGGTGTACTGCACAGATATTACACAGCTTCTGCAACACCTGTGAGTGCCGCAGTACAAGCCCGAAGACTGGAGACTATTCATTGACAGCAGCAAGCGGTCACTGAAATGTGTTCTACTGCACAACGGCAACCAGTTTGCCTCTGTGCCCCTTGCTCACTCTACTAAACTGAAGGAGAAGTATGAAGCGGTGAAGTATGTGCTGGAGATGATTCGTTATGATCAGCATAAGTGGGTTATTTGTGTCGACCTGAAGATGGTGAATTTTTTGTTGGGGTTAGGGTTAGTAGGGACACTGCTCACCATTACACGAAGAAGGACTGGCCTGTGCGAGAGGAACTAGTGCCTTGCAGAGCAAGTAACGTTATCAACAGCCCTCTGGTGGACAGAGACAGGATACTCTTTCCACCACTGCACATCAAGCTTGGCTTGATCAAGCAGTTCACAAAAGCTCTAGACAAGGAAGGTGGCTGCTTCAATTACATGTGCCAGACATTTCCGGGAGTAACCATAGTGAAGTTAAAAGCTGGTATCTTTGACGGTCCTCAAATCCGTCGGCTCATCAGAGATCCAGAGTTTGAAAAGTCAATGAACAAAGTGGAACAGGAAGCATGGAATGCTTTTGTTCTCGTTGTGAAAAACTTCCTTGGCAACAACAAGGCCAGAAACTATGCTGAACTTGTCAACAATATGGTGACTGCTTTCAAAAAACTCGGATGCAACATGAGCATCAAACTGCATTATCTATTTTCACATATGGATCGTTTTCCTAGAATCTTGGATCAATGAGCGACGAGCAGGGAGAGAGATTCCACCAGGAGATGAAGGAGATGGAGACCAGGTATCAGGGACGTTGGAATGCCGTCATGATGGCTGATTACTGCTGGACTCTAAAGAGAGACATCCCTGATGCTGAGCATTCCAGGGTATCCAATAAACGGAAGTTCCAGCCCTAAATTCTTAACAATGACGAACATTAATGACCCTTACTTAAGGTACTGTGTTTCAGAACGCTTTTTTCTCTTTGAAACCAATTCCGAATGAGAAATGTTCATAGAAATAAACCGATTATGGCACAAAAATTTTACTGATTTATTCACAAATAAAACAAAATAAACATTTAACTTAGCAGAAAAACTGGACCTGACCTAGAGAAACGGATGTCATTTTCGGACTCAGCGGTGCCAAATTATCATAAATCAGTTGTAAAAAATTAGGAAATTTCCTCAAAAATTTTTTTTGTTGCTCAGTGTAATCTGATTGCGATAGCTTCAAACAGTGGCGGATTTAGGGGAGGGCCGGTGGGGCCATGGCGCCCCCCGTTATCATCAGTTCAATTCAAGACAGCGTTAAATAATAAAAAAAAATTTTTGAGATCGACTCTTTTTAACAATAAAAAATAACGCTGAATTATTATATAAATTTGATTCTAGTTTATTTCAGAATATAATTCATATTTTAAACTTAAATAGTGTTTTGCGGCACAAAATAAAAATAATTCATGTTTTCTTAGTATATTTCTTTAATTGAAAACTTACATCAACAAAAAGTAAATCAGAAAATATTATAGTCTTTACTTATTTAGACTTTTCATAATTTTGTGTTTTGTTCGCAGTTCACATTTTATTCCATTTACGATTTGGCGCGTCTTATATTATTTTTTTGTGTTTCATAAAATCAGTTTGCATTTGAATTTGTTTTAAAATTTGAAATAAAAATATTTTAAATTTTTTCCACCAACTCCGGCAAAAAAACAGAAGCAGTGCGATGATCTCAATACAGCTGAGGCCGTTAATGGTAATACCTAGATATTTCAATAATTGCATATGAAATAATTTTGTATTTTCAACTAAAAAAATTAGCAATAAGCTGAATAATAAAAACATTTTTTGGGTTAAGGTTAATGCGTACCAGTCATTACCCGACTAGACTTGAATTAAGTTTGTAGTATTAACTATTCAGGTCTGGTAGGAAAATTAAAAACATTAAACTCAACGTTTTTTTTCCATTATAAAATCTGATGTCTTAGAAGAAGGCTTTTCATTAAATTTAAACAATGACATGACTAATGTTTCAGACAAAACCGGTAATTCATGTCAGAGTTTTTCAAGGAAAACCATACCTTTAGATATTGGACAATATGCAACTGCAGAAATCCCAAGCTTTTCGAATAATTTAAGATATGATCTTTTGAAAAATCCATGGAAACCTGACGAGAATTATAAATTTTTATTTGTGTTGGAAGGTAAAAGAAAACGGTTTTTTAAATTCTATTGGTTTCAAGAATTTTCCTGGCTGTCTTATTCTGATTTGAAAAAGAAGCATTCTGTAAGTTTTGTGTACTTTATGCTAATCGACATCCATCATGTGGCTCAGTTGGAGTATTTGTTATATCACCTCTGAATCGTTATAAATAAGCTTTAGATCAAGGTCGCTGTCATCAAGCGACATCTTTTCATAGAGAGGCTACAGAAAAATCAGAAATGTTTCTGAGTTTGATTAAAAATAAATCTAATGTTTTAGAGTTATCAAACTCCGCTCTATCCACAAAAATAGAGCAAAACAGAAAATTGCTCAACACTATTATTGAAACTATTAAACTTTGTGAAAGACAGAATTTTGCTTTGCGTGGACACCGGGATGACGATGCATTTGATCTCAAATCTGATAACAATCAGGGGAATTTCAGAGCGCTATTAAAATACAGTACTGAATGTACTAGATCCGCCACTGAATGTATATTGTCGGAAATTTTAATGAAAACAACTGATGGTGTGAAATAATCTTCTCCTCTATCTTTCTCAGGGAATTTTTTTATGGTCCGACAATAATTTTTGTGTATATTTTTATCGTGAGTTCGACCAGTCCTGTGTGGCACTGGGCTTTTTCGAATTATATGATTTTACTGAGTAACACACGAACGCGTAAAAATATTCGATTTTATTAATCGACGGAAGTAAATAAAAGGATTTGAACTAAATGAACTCTATAATAATGTAAAATGTCAATGAATAAACTGGAATACAGGAATTAGAACTTCTTGTTGGGTTTTCGACTTGGGATATGTTTCTTGCCGTTTAATCGTACAACCTCGACTGTGTAACCGATGGTGATGTCGTTACAACTCCAAGAAATAAATAAAATGAATGCGAAAAAATTACAAAAATCGGAGCCTATGGAAATTCCAAGCTGCGTGTGAAACTATACCAATGAGTATAGAATCCAGCAAAGAACCCTAGGTCCACAAAAAGCACAAGAAACAAAACAACGAGGCGGATTCGTTTTCACAGAATCCAAGGCCTGTTTTCACTGGGCCTGTCTGTCAGTCGGTCGGCTTTCGCACAACCCTGGCCTGTTTTCACTGGGCCGTCGAGTCTGATCGGCTTTCGCACGACCAAGGGCCTGTTTTCACTGGGCCTGTCTGTCAGTCGGTCGGCTTTCGCACAACCCTGGCCTGTTTTCACTGGGCCGTCGAGTCTGGTCGGCTTTCGCACGACCAAGGGCCTGTTTTCACTGGGCCTGTCTGTCAGTCGGTCGGCTTTCGCACAACCCTGGCCTGTTTTCACTGGGCCGTCAAGTCTGGTCGGCTTTCGCACAACCAACACAAAACAACAAGAGTCAGAACAACACTGGAAACAAATTGTGTGACTTTAGTACGCGTGCGAAACTATGCCAATGAGCATAGAGTCTCGTACCAAATCCACTTTTGAGAACTTAAGACGTTTCTGAAACTATGCCAATGAGCATAGAATCACGCATTAAGTCTCTTAGATACCAGAATAGGCACTGATTACTCGAAGCTGCCTAACTGGTGAACCCAAGGCTGACTCTTTTTGAGAACTTAAGACGTTTCTGAAACTATGCCAATGAGCATAGAATCACGCATTAAGTCTCTTAGGGACCAGAATAGGTTATTATTCAAGGCTGCCTAACCAGTCAACCCAGTCTTGACTCTCCTCGAGAACTTAAGACGTCTCCGTGCTAATGAGCATAGAGTATCGAATTAAGTCTCTGAGGGACCAGAATAGCAGTGATGACGTAAGTACTCAAAAAATGTACTTAAGCATAAGTACGAAGTACTCCGTAATAAAAGTACTTAAGTATAAGTACTAAGTACCAAAACAAATTGTATACTTGATACTTATAAGTACTAAGTATAAGTACCAAGTTCATAAGTACCTAAGTACATACCATGGTTAATTTGAAATATTTATAAATTTATTAAACTCAGAAATCAACTCATTATTTACAGTAATTTATTTACATCAATAAAAGAGTTTGTTCTTTTTGAGTAAAAGTAAAGTTTCAAATGATTCATCACTTAAACGATTTCTTTTAGGAGTGAGAATCATTCCAGCCTGGCTAAATATACGTTCCACAGGTGCTGATGATGGCACAGTGGTACGATGGAGTAAAAGATTGCAGTTTTCGCTGTATAACAAATATAGTTGGTAAGAAAGCACCAAAATAAGACTCCATTGAAACCTCACCTTGGAGCTTGTCCAATGCTAGTGAAATTGGTCTCATCAGTTCCAACCACTCATTAAGAAAACTCAAATCTATATTGCTGAACTTCGGCAGCTGCAAACGTTCCATCACAACATTTACTTTATCGCGAAGACTATATATAATGCTATAACAGTCAAATTCAGAATTCCAGCGTGTCCCATTCGGTTTGGGTATTGTTCTGCCTAAGATTTCATGCACAATTTCGGCAGCTTTTGAACTCTGGTGTGATGCGGTGCTGAGAGAGACACATTTACTGGATACTGATCTATATATTCTTTTGTAGTTTGAATCATTATTCAAAGCTTTACTTGCATCAGTTGTAGCAAGCAAGTTTAGAGTGTGTGAAAAGCAAGATACATGAGAAGAAGATAAATTCCGGAGCTGTCATCTATATTACTTACCAAAAACTTATCACCAATCTCAACTGGAGTCATTTCTGTATCATCATCATCAACAACATCTATTTGCGAATCATCAGAAATACCTGCCTCTGCAAATTCCTTGAATGCTTTCACGAAATTGCTACCATTGTCTGTCACGACATTTACTATTTTCGATGAATCCAGATCAAACTCGCTGTGAATGTTCACCAACATGGCTGCAATTTTGTCATACGAATGAATTCCACGGAACCTACGGAAGGCAAGTGTAACGCCATTGCGCTTAAAATCATCTGGATTTATCCAATGGCAAGTTACTCCAATATAACTTCGAGCATGTTGCGTCCAAATGTCAGCAGTCGTGCAAACAAATTGAAAATTTTTTAGAGTCTCTTTAATAGTCTTCTTCATATCAGTAATCTTTGTGGCCAGAATACCTTTTAATGTCTCGGTAAACATAACTCGGGCTTTTGAGTTCAGACCCTGTATCAAAGTTTTAAACCCCTCTCCTTCCACAATTGAAAGTGGTTGCAAGTCGTTGATAACAAAATTAATTATTAAATCCTCAACCTTTTTATTTGATATTGATGATACATTTAATAAGTCAAGTTGCTGTTGTTTTTTATATGGAGTTGAAACTGTGGTAGTTTCTTCATCTGCACCTCGCTTTCTACCCGTCTTTAATTTATTTTCTTCCTCGTGCATCTTTTGTAGATAATTTTCACCATGTGTCTTCTGTATATAAAAATGAAAAATGCAATAAATAGAAATTTAATGAAGAGTTAATTCGAGATTTATTAACAAAATAATATTAATTAATATGTATTCAAAAAAAATAGAAATATAATATACATAAAATTTATATTTTTGTTATTATTTATTTATAAGCTACATTTTATCAATTTTAACATATCATCAAAATCAAATCTACCTTCACGTGCTTGGTAAAATTGGATGGAGCTTTATGTTGTCCACGAATAAGATGTCTTTTTGGCTTGCACAAGTCACAAAGTGCAACTATAACATCTCCATCATCTTCAACTACTTCATTAAAATAGTTCCTAACTACTAAAGGCATTTTATCAGCCATTTTCATCAAAATCACTTCAACACATATATTTATAATGTAAACAAAAACACTTCAACACCTATATCTATAATGTAAACAAAAACACTTCAACACCTATATTTAAAATGTGAACAAAAACACTTTAACACATATATTTATAAAATGGTAAAATTGGATGGAGCTTTATGTTGTCCACGAATAAGATGTCTTTTTGGCTTGCACAAGTCACAAAGTGCAACTATAACATCTCCATCATCTTCAACTACTTCATTAAAATAGTTCCTAACTACTAAAGGCATTTTATCAGCCATTTTCATCAAAATCACTTCAACACATATATTTATAATGTAAACAAAAACACTTCAACACCTATATCTATAATGTAAACAAAAACACTTCAACACCTATATTTAAAATGTGAACAAAAACACTTTAACACATATATTTATAAGGATTGTTATATATATATATATATATATATATATATATAATAACTACTATATATAGCGTGCATGTGTATATAGATCATGTAGAGTCTATGATATAGATATATATAGATGTCAGAGTGATGTGAGTTAACCACCTTTTAATGACTCAATTAGCCAATGGTTATCTTAACATCCCGCTATCCATGACTAAACAAGAACAAATGTTGATAAGAGAGATAAACAAGAATGTCAATGTGAAAATGTGTGTGTGAGTTTTCATCACAGTTTTCAATTTTTAAATGTTGACATTATCTTATTTTTGCTTAAAATTTTTCTGGTACTTACAGGAAAAATTTATTACTTATAAGTACAAGTACTGAAAAATGTACTTAAGTATAAGTATTTAAGTACAGGTTTCATATGTACTTGAGTATAAGTGTCTAAGTATTGCATTTGTACTTAAGTACGTACTTAAGTACAAATGTACTTAAGTACTCGTCATCACTGAATAAATGGCATCTCCTTGCTTCTATGTTGATGCGGCGTGACATCCCACTACGATCAAGACTTTATAAATCTGTGATACGTCCGGTGTTGTTATATGGTGCAGAAACATGGCCAATGACAACCAAACTGGAACAACAACTTCAACAAACCGACATGAAGATGGATGCAACGAATTAGTCTGAAAGACCACGTCAAATCTACCGAAATCCTGCGTCGTGCTGGTTTAGATGATATAAAGGACGAATGCCGGCAACACTGTCTGCGGTGGTTTGGTCATGTCAAACGAAATGGAAACAGTGCCATATTTTTTTTTGCAGATGTTGAAGTACCTGGCACACGTCCCAAAGGCCGTCCAAAGAAGTCCTGGTCGCAAACATTCGACCAAGACATGAAAGCTCTAAATTTAAATGAAATGGATGCAACTGATCGTCTAATTTGGCGCAAAAAGTTGATGGCAAAGAAAACAACGTCCTACCTCGGGGAACCGGGTCTCTGGACGCAAAACGAAAATTGATTGATTGATAAACTATGTCATAATGCCATGTGAGTATCTCCAGTTGAACATCATGTCCGTAGAATTCATATGTCGATCCAACTTCATCTTAAAAGTTTCAACATCTTTAGCTATCACAATATCCGCATCCAAGCCATTCCATAACTCAACCACCCTATTTGAAAAACAAAATTTCCCATGATTCGTGTTAAAACTATGAGTAGACAACTTGAACGGATGACCTCTGGTACGATCATCGTTAGGTTTTTTAACACTGGATAACACGATGATAATACGATGTTCCTAGTTATCTTGAAAACTGTAATAAGATCACCGCTGATTCGTCTATACCTAAGTGTGGGAAGATCAAGGAGTCATAATCTCTGCTCATAGTTGAGTCCAATAGAATCTTTCACCATTCTTGTAGCCCTCTTCTGAATCCGTTCAATATCTTTTATAACTTTCAAAGACCAGGGAGACCACACCGAAGCAGCATACTCTATCTTTGACCTGTGGGTTTAGGTAATTTCATAAAATGTCTATTTATCGATCCTAGGGTTATATTACACTTGTTAATTGTATTATAAATATGTTTACGAAATTTCATGTTTGATTCAAATATTATCCCAAAACATTAACAAATTCTTCATTCTCAAGAAGTAAACCATTCATGGTATAAGATCTCTTACCACATGCTTTACGCCCATAATTCATAACGACACATTTATCCACATTCACCCCAAGCTCCCATTTTACAAACCACCCATAAAAAACATCCAGACATGTTTGAAGGGCCACCATATCATCATTAGAAGAAATACACTTGAACAATTTAGAATCATCAGCATATAGATACATTCCAACATTAGAATCCTTCTTACATAAATGAAAAATATTATTCACATAAATAACAAACAAAATTTGGCCCAACACACTGCCCTGTGTAACCCCACTAATCAATTTAAAATTATCAGACAGACTTCCATTCCCACATACTGCAAATGTTCTACCACTAAGATAATCAGAAATCTATTCAACCACAATCCCATTCAACCACAATCCCATTCACACCATAATTGAATACAATAGAATTTCAAACACCCGATCTAATGATAAACTTTTAATTAAAACAAATTTAATATTGAATAAAATTAGTGCTCGTCAGTTTTTCTATTATGCGCCGTTGGTTTGGAATGGACTGCCATTTTATTTGAGGGCTTTGACAAATTATAATGATTTCAAAATTCAATTAAAACCTATTTCATATGTTTGTCATAATGTTTTAAAATTTTTTTTTTTAATTTTTTTTTTCACTTAGTTACTTTTGTTTTATACATTTTCTTGATTGGGTTTTGTGCTTAGATGTGTGCGTATGAGTGTTGTGTTTGAATGTTTGTCTATGTGATGTACAATTGGAAATTACTATTATATTATTAACAGCCAAATAATGTTTGATCATAACTATTTCCGTTATTACTTTTTTGTGTCAATTGAATATGTGACTTTAAATGTGTGGAATGGATGTTTTTGGGGTTGGCTGAAAAAAACACTCGTGGTTATGCTGGACCCTTTTTTTCAAAATTATTTTTTAACGTTTGAAAAATAAACGGATAAAAAAAAAATATTCGCATAATTTCTTAACCAACTTGTGATGAAGAACTTTATCGAATGCTTTCTCATAGTCTGTATACTGACCTCAGATACGTTTCTTGGATATCTCATCCTTGAACAGCCCTGACCATGATTTTTTTATTTCTAACACAAATGTCTTTAATTTTTAACGCAAACAAGGACAAATTAGTATCAAACAATTGCCATACAATTTAATTTAAACAAAATTTAAGCTAAAATATACACAATTTAAACAAAATTTAAGTCAAACTATACAAGTAAAACAATATAAAAGTTTTATGCATTTTTATTTAGACAAAAAATCATTGATATATGTTTTGCATTACAAAGAATTTTTAATATCTCATTTTATAAAATATTTTCAATTCAATTTATTCTAATCTTTGTTTTCGCGAATGTTCGCAATTTGTGTTTTTCCGCATCGAAATTTCTTAGTAGTCTTTCTAATGCTATTTCCGCCATCTAATCTCTGGCACAACTAGAACACAATTTGTTCTTTCAAGGTCTCATTATTACTTACAACGCCATTATCGATGATGAACGATTTATTAACGACGAAAGTAACGAGATCACGATAACTAAAGTGAAAAAAACTTTTTGAAAAACTAACCAAAAATTAATAATGCTTTGTTAGCGCATTTTTGTAAAATTAAAAAAAATGTTTTGTTATAGATTGTCCGCTCTTTAAGCTTGCCCGTATGTTGTTATTTCATAAAGTTATTTATAAATTATTTAGGGACAATTTAACCTACAAAGCGGTTTCGTGCGTTTGGCATATAATGTCCGTTATTCGTAACTGCCCTCCTTTTAGGATCTCGCTTTTGAGGACTTTAACTGTGTTTCTGAATTGCTTCGTGTAATTAATTCTTTTTTTTCAATATTCAACTTTATGCTGATAATTGTGTTTCATGAATCTAATTTACATCAATTTATTAATATTTTAACATTATATCTTAACTCTATTTCTTCCTCGAGTACCTCTACGTCTCTTAAGCTTAATCCTTCTAAGTTTGAAATACAGTGCATGGTTAAGACAGCCCTGTTTTTTTAGTGTTACTTACGATCTACAGAAGATATATTTACAAAACTTTCATGTATTAATGTAAAAAAAATTTTAGACCCAAAAACTTTTTTATTGTTGTTCAACCAAGAATATCTTAACCTTTTACAACGCTAATCACTTTTTCTAATTCTTTTTGGATAAGTCATTTCCAATGAAATGAAATTTTGACAAAATATATTATTCATGAGAGTTTCATAAATATATCTACTGTGGACCATAATCTTCTGTTCAGTAACTTGTTTTTCGATGGTCTTATCTAGTATTGATTACTGTAACTCACTCTATTGTGAGTTTCCTGGTTTTACATTATGCCTTTTAACAAAAGCCTTCAATTCTCCTGTTTGCTTGGTTTCTCATGCTCCTCTGTTCTTTCACATTTCTCCCTTTCTAAAACTATTTCATTAGCTACCTCTTTGGTATAGAACTGTCTTTAAGCTATGCACATTGTTCAAATTTCAACCTAACAATTTTCATAAATATTTTTTTGATCTTTTATCTAAACTTAAACGCTCTGGTCTTAGATCTTCTTTTCATTCTCACTATTTCATAATATCTGTTAAATACTCGTATGCGAAATCTGCTTTGGCTTACTCTGGTCCGTTTGTTATGGAATTCTTTAAATGTTGTATGGTATTTTTGTTTAATATTGATTTTTTAACATGCCTACCTAGTAGCTTGTTTGATTTTCATGCTTATTTGGTTATTTGATTTTTAGATGCTAGAGTTAGCTACATAATGTTACCTCTTTAATTGAATAATGATTTTGGTTCTTTACCTACTTGTTTGATTATTGATTGATTTTTGTACGCTTACTCCAGTAGTTTATGGCTTGTTTAATTATTTATTATTAATTAATTGTTTAGTTTTTTATGCTTGTTTGATTGTTTTTTATACACTT